TCCGAGTTTTCACTGAGATTTTTTTTTTTTTTTTCATTTTCAGCCTTCCATCTGGACCCTAAAAGCTTCCCTTGTGCTTACTAAGATCCTGAAGCCATTCTGGCTTCAAGAAAATATTTGCCAAACACCTTCTATGATTTTAGGGACCAACAGATGACATCCTTCTTGTTTTCTCAACAGAAATGAACTCAACACACAGCTCAGTTTAAATCAGTAGACATTTGTGGAGAATCTACTATGTACCAGATACTTTTTTAGAGTTGTGGATAATGTAAGTGTAAGAATGTTTTCAGCTGTGAGTAAAGGAAGTCTACCCAGAAGCTAGAGAGAAAGGCATACACTTCAATCTTATAATTGTTTTTTTTATAGATCTTAAAAGACTTGGCCAGGGAATAAAGGAGATTGATAGCATGATGTCTGGCAGAAAGGGAGGGGACTGATGATTCATGACCCTGCAGTCACAGAAATTCCAAAGAGGACATTATTTGGACATAGCAAAAGCTCCTCCAAGTCAGGTACAACCTCCTTCAGGGCATATGAGACCATATTAAATTTAATTCACTACTTTTTGAATTTATTTTTCAGTCAGTCATTATTATTAATCATAATAATGATTATTGCCATTAAGGCTTTAAACTCTAAACAAAATGTAATCCATCTAGTTAGGAGTTAGATTTGGTTATGCAATGGTATGAATTTCATGAATTTCTGTAAAATATGAAGAAACGTGCTCTTAGCATTCTGTGTAAAATCATTTTGTTAAATATATGTGTACAATAAAAAAAGATTGATCCCTGAATAGAATCAAGTTTCTTTAAGGGAGGAGGAAGTTGTGTTATATAGGTGTGGAAGTTAGATTGGGTGTTGGTAAGATAACCTGTAGAGTTGGATAGGTTTTTAAGTATGATTGGTTATTCCTTGTAGTTTCCTATCACCTGCAAATATTTATAAGATTGTCTTTTATTTTTCTTCAAGTAAAGGAAGAATCGTGACTTGTGACAAGAATTGTGAAGAATTCCAACATCTGAAGTCTTTTCTTGAAGAAGGACTGAAGTTTCTTTTTTTATATCTGCTATCTGCTGACTCTCCTTCATGGGGTCATCCTTCTTCGTGTGTTTCATTGTTTTGTGTGCTTCGTCATTTTCTATATTTCACCAAAAACTTATTTGAGGGAATTTTTTTGAAGTCTAGGATAAAGGAGAGCTCCTCCAGAAAGTATTTGTATTTCCTTCTGCCAGGGCCCTGGGAAATTACCAGCCCAATATTAAACTGAGTTCATAGTTTCATGAAAACGGGGGGCTGCAAACCCAGCCACCAAAGGGGGACTTAAATTTTTTTAAGTAAGGCATTCTAAAGCACAGGCCCCCTCAGGCACAGAACCCTTGCTTGCTCAGGACTAAGGGTAGTACTGGTTGCAATGAACAACTTCATGTGCATTAAGTTTGTGAGGCTTAAGGTAGGATTAGTGATTAGGGAGTGACCTTGAATTAGGAGCTAAAATTGTCAGGAAAGGTGCAGAGTGACATGGAGGTCTGAGCATAGCAGCAACGTTTAAAAGTGTACAATAACCCGATGAAGTAAGATTCAGAGCTGTAGGTTTTCGGGAGAAGGGAGGAACGATGTTCTGGAAGCAGCACTGAGGAGCAAGAAGGACACCACCTTCTTATTTCCTGACACAATGATATAAGAGCTGGAGAGGGAAAAACCAGCCATCACTTGCAAGGGCTGTGGAAGCAGTTTTTCTAGTGGGAGAATCAGGCTTCCATTAGAGCAAGAAGTGAAGGGAACCTTCAGAGAAGAGGCTGAGGATTTAGGGCATTTTGCTAATGGTTGGATTGTGCCTTCCAGAAGCCCGAAACAGAAGGTTCCAGGAGCTGCATAAGGAGAAAGGGACATATAATACGTGCTCAGTCTATGAATGTTAAAATGTAGGAGATGAGAAACGCACTTGAGATTCTTGAGCTGCTTGTGATAACCAACATAAATAGGCATTAAGGGCTTAATGAGATTAATATTGGTAGACTCAAGACCTAGAGTGTTGGGGTGAGCATTGAGGGTGAGAAGGGTGTCTGCCTTGTTACTGACCCCTGATGATGAAGGTGTGGAGAACTGGAGTGAGGTAGCCTTGGTCCAAGTGTATGGAGGCTCTCTTGAGGTCTCTGTTCTGGAAGCCAGCTGTTAGTTACCCTAAGCTTGCAGAAATATAGAACTAACACCCTAAGGCACACACTTGGGAAAACCTCACTCTGGCTACTAAAAGGAGAGGGGTATTAACATTTAATCTATGTCCACTATGTGCTAGGCACTGTGCTTCTTGTGTGTGTTATCAAGTTTAATCACCACAGAGTCTATACTTAGTATGAATCATTTTTATTGAATCCACTTTGCAGATGTGAAGATAGATCTTTGATGCTCCTTAGGTCTGTTTAACGGCTTACTTTCTAGCATGCTCAGCAGATACTGCACTGAGGAATAAAATTCCAGATTGGTAGGAGGGTAGTGACGTCAGAGCACTGGGATTTTTGTGGGGACAGTGCAGGGGTCTCCTTTACCCTCCATCACCTCCTACAAGACAAGTGTTTTTAGGAGAGAAAACACATCCTTATAATGAAGGTGTGAAGACTATTCTGAGTGCTGGATCCAATAGGCCTGAGGTGCACCAAGTGGGACCCTAAAATGAGAGCAGTCTTGGAGGGCAAGCTGAAGAACCTATGCATTGCATCGTCATGAGAAAATGTTTGTTGTCCTCCAAAGACACAGCATTAAAATACCCTCCTCTAACACAAGCTAGTCTTAAATCGAACATTTCTCAAAAATACACAATCAGGAATTTTCCTGTAGGAGCTGTTATCTTCAACTACATCAAGACATGAAAACTTGGCAGCTAGAAAAATTTTTACACTTTAAATATCTTCCATGGACAGCACAGGGAAGAGGTAGCATAGCACAGGGCACATTGATCATTCATGGTTTTCTGAACTTCTCTCATTGGAGAAATAATCCATTATCATATGACATTTGGGGGAAGGTTTTCAAGAGGGGGTCTGTCTGTCCATTTGGAAACCCAGTGAATCGCCAGCATGTTTTGCACTCGAGAGTTCAATGTTTTATGTGTAATATGCAGGCGATATGGATAAGGTTTGTGATTTTTTTAATTTCACAATTTCATTTCCAATGCTGGATTTGGCATTCCCATGGGATATATTTTCCTTCTCATTGTAACCACACAATAATTTTAGCCTAAATACTTAATTTAAATAATTTGCTTATGTAGAGGGATCCATGAAATGCAAATAAGCAGCATGTTCCTAATAGGTTTTCATGTTTCCTGACCACCTTAACAGCACCACATATGGTTGAAAACTGCAAAGCCTTTAACCCAAACAAGACCCGGTCAGGTTTTCAAAGACCGATGTAGCAAAGCAAGTGTAGGTTCCACAGGACAGGGGAATCATAACTTAGAGTTCTTGAGAGCCTGAAATGGAGAGAAGGGAAAATTATAGGCCAAGGACTGTCTCTGTCTTCCTCTTTCCACAGCATCATGCATAGTGACACAAACCAAGCCAGAAAGCTCATGTGACAACGTCGCTCAGAATTGACCCACCTCATCCCCACCAGCTTCTCTGGGCAGGAGGCTGTCTGAGGTGCCTGGTATCTCTTCTTTCCCGCACAAGTACATGTAGTATTGATATTTATATCCATACAAGTGATCCATTCAATCATCCAGGCATATTTACACGAATCAAACACATTTGGCAGATAAACTGTGTGTGTGTGTGTTTGTGTGAGAGAGAGAGAGAGAGAGAGAGAAAGAGTTCCACCCACTGCACCCCGCTCAGGCGTTGCGCTTTGTCTTGCTTCGGGTCACCCATCATTAGAGCAGTGATCTTAGGGAAGACGCCTGCCAGTGTGGCCGCCTCCCACGCTGCATTTGTTCCATGTGAGCACGGAGCTGGCAGGGTCAGGGATTTGGGGAAGTCCAGCTTCTCGCAGCATCTGGGTGGCAGTGCGCGAGATGGGGGGGACATGGAGGGGCGGCGGCCAGAGGTCAGTGGACGACTACGCCCTCCTCTACCGCCGCGGAGTGGCAGCGCCAGCCTTGGGGAAGGCGTCGCCGGAGTAGGCTTCCCCGAGCCGCCGAACCCTGCTGCTTTGTAGTGGGGAAGCTCAAGTGGGGGTCTCCAGCACGCCAGTATTATCAAGAATACAAGCAAAATTCCCGTGCCTCCCTCTCCTTTTTAAATATTCAGTAGTTCCCCTAAAAGAGCCACTTTCACTGTCTGCCTGTGGATCCGGCTGTCTGCCCCTCCCCCCGGCATTAGGGAGACCTCAGACACCCAGCAAAGTTTCCTCCGGTTTGCTCTTGCTGCGCCCCAAGTTTCCCCTCGCCTTGTATGCCAGTGTGAAGGTGGAGGGTGGAGGAATGGTCAATTTAGCACTGCCAGGTGGCTCCCTGGAAGAGGAGTTGACGTTAACAGGTCAGTCCCAGGCCCAGGAATAGGGGGCAAACCCTCTCTCCCCTGGCACCAGCTAGGTCCCGCACTCAGAATTCCTTCGTTTCTCTGGGGACCAGACTAGGGGCGCCGCCCCCAGTGCACCACGCAGAGCACTGGCGCCCCTTTCCTTACACACCCCCCCCCCGTGCAAACTCGGAGCCCTGACTCCTCCGAAAGTACTTGCCACTTGGGGGTGGCCCCGCCCCTCCCCCCAGTCCCACGCTGCAGCCAGGCCTCAGAACCCGGACTTCCCGGAGCCAGTCAGCCCGCTCCGCACCTAGTAGTGCGCCGCTCCCGCCTCCCCCGCACGGTGACTCCCTCCTTGCGCACCGCTCGTACTCTCGCCACGCCGCCGCCCGGCACTGCAGCACCGCGGGGAGGAGGCGCAGGCGGAGGAGGGGGAGGAGGACCGCAGCGTGCAAGCCCAGAGCCACTTTGCCGCCCCTCCTTTCGTCGCTGACACGCTCGGAGGAGTCACCACTCAGTGCGCTGCCGGCGAGAGTGGCAGACGGAGGCGGCCCCGGGGAGAGAGCCCGAGCGACGCCCGCGAGGCAGCAGCTGCAGCGCTGACACTACCTAGGGCAGGGGGTCCCAGGCGGCTGGAGCGGTGAGTGAGGGACCCCGGCAGCGGTGGCGGGTTTTCCAGCCGCCGCCTAATTTCCCTTCCAGACCGGGGAGCCGGGCGCTGCAGCGTGGGGAACTTTTTGCAGCCTTGTAGAAGCGCAACTTTGCCCCGCGTGCCCCCGAGGAAGCGGTTGCAGGTGCCTTTTTGCTGGGGCGGGACCGGGGAATTCGGGGTAAAGCAGACGGAGTGACTCCCGGATGCCCAGGGTAGGTCAGGGGAGGCGGGTGCACTTTATCCGGGTTCCCGGGGGAGGCGGGTGGGCGGCCGCGGGGATTCGAAAGCCGCGCCCGCCTTCCTTGGGGACCTCCACAATACTTTGCTTCCTTGGTTGGACGGGGAGGGGGAGGCTGAATCAGAACAGCAGCTCCGAGCCCCCAGCCAGGCGTCCGACTTGTACCCCGACCCCAGCTTTGGGCTCAACTTTTCGGCGGGGATCCTTCTGCAGACGTGCGGCTGGCGGAAGAGCAGAGAAAGCCGCATTGGGCACTGTGCGAGCCTGAAAGAGACCCCGGGGCTTAAAAAACGATTCCACGGAAGTCCCCGAAGCCCCCGTCTGGTGTCTGCGCGAGAAGCAGAAAGGGATGGAGAACCGGGAATCCCGCGGGGCTGTGGTTGTTTGTAAGTGCTGCACTTCACTCCAAACACTCCGCCCTCATCTAGTAAAAACCTACTGAGCACCCACCAGGCTCCAGGTGCGGCGAAATAGACCGACTAGCGTGCGGCTCCGGGGGGAGGGGGGGAGAAGGGCCATCACCCATAAACAAGCTACCTGGGTCATTTCAGGTGGTGGTGAGAGCTGTGGCGGCGCTCACCCAATCCATCTGACCCTTTCAATGGACAGACTCTTTCCCCTCCGCCTGGGTTCTAGAACTGGGAAGACTTTTCTCCAGCTTGTCGCGGGGACCTCCCGGGGCTGGGCCATGGAGATTGCGGAATATGGTGATGAACTTGTGGGGCAGCGGGCACCCCGCCGCAGATGCACAAAACCCAGGGTCTTTCTGTGGGCGTGCGGGGACCTTAGGCGCCGGGCGCGCGGGGGTGGAGGGGGAGGGACTGAGTCACAGGGGCGGGAGCCGGGGGTTGGGGGGGCGCTCACGTCACCCGCTGCGTGTGCTAGTGATGCAAATGCAGACCCGCGAGGGGCGGGCGGGGTGGGGCTGGAGGGGAGGCGGCGGAGTCTCGGTCTGGGAGAACGCGCGTGCGTCAAAGTCTCTCCGGTGATGGACGCCCCGCAGCGCACCCGGCGGGGCGGCGGCGGGGGCGGCGGCGGCGGCGGCGGCGGGGGGGTGGTGCTGCGGCCCCGGCGGCGAGGAAAGCCCAGCAGGGCGGGTCTGCGGGCCAGCCCGCAGCTCCGCAGTGCGCCACAGTGCCGGGAAGGCGCCGCAGCGGCCAGGCGCTCCCCGGGGATCGAAAGATGGGGCATCTTTTAAGGCGCCGCAACAGGGATGTCCTGATGGCCTCCTCTCTCAATAGACCGCCTGCCTAAATATTTAGGTGATTGATAGCGCGAGAAAGTTGTTTCAGTTTCTTAGCCTTAATCCTGGAAGAGGCTTTGGCATTCATCTCTTTGGCGTTCACTAGTTTTCTGTGGCAAGTTCCTAAAGGCCTCGTGCTCCTGGCAAGTTTTCATGTGAAAGCTTCGACGTTGAGGTTCATGAGATTTCCGTAGTGCTCACGCATTCCTTCACCGTTCTTCAGTTTTGTCAGGAAGCCTGGCCTCTAAGTGGGGCTTGAGAATGGCTTACAAAACAGTGTGCTGCGTTCCTCCTTTAGGACCTAAAAATGTGTGTTGAAAGCAGCCCCTGGGAGAAAATAAAAAGCCCAACCCATGTTTCATTTTATTTATTTTTAAAAGACCCCACTTTCTGGAAGCCTCCTGGCAAAGGTTTTTCTACTGGCTTTGCTGAATAAGGGCAAATCTGCAGTATGTGTGGCAAAAGGATTGAAAGGGGGGAGGTGGAAGGGAGGAAGGAAGGAAAAGGGGAAGGCAGTCATCGGAGAGCCCAGAGACAAAGATCCTAGTTCCCGCTTTCCGGGACCTTGTGTTACAGTCACCTCGGGCAAGTGACTTACCTCTTGGGTTCATCCTCCACATTTGAGAAGTCTGAAAAAGCTCAGACTAGCTCTTACTACAAAGTTGTTTTGAGGACAAAAGACGATGGTCTCAGAGAGAGCTTTGTGCCTACAAATTCTCTAGGAATGGAAAATATTATGAAACACAGTCCCTTTAAGGGAAAAAGAAAAACAATTTTATCTTTTAAAAAATTCTGGAGACATTCACCAGTGCTGTTCCTTTAATGAAATTTAGCTTTCAGTGTCAGCAAACGCAGACAATAGACTTTTCCTAACAGTCTTATATAAAATCAGATGCCATTAGCTGCTGTCTGGAGAACGAAAAAAAAAAAGCACTGGATTACATCTGAGTGTTTTTGGTGATGTAGTAGAGAAAACAGATTTATTTTTCATGACCTGATGACAGTCAAAGCACGTTCTCTGGTGTGAGCAGCAGACTAGCCTAAGAGCTTTTAGGTAAAAATTCTACTCATTATTAACCCAGTCATATTCCTTAAGTGTGGAAGTTGCCTCAGAAAACAGGATGCAGTTTCCACCCTGAAGGAGATGACCACAAAGGGTATCATAATGTGCAATATATCATGTGACCACAAGTCCCAGAAAATCCATTTCCTATAATTAGGGATATTATCTCTTACTCTAAGGTAAACTTGTTGATGATATATTTCATGAATAAAAACATCTGATTTGTCAAAATGCCTTCCTAACCACTCACAATGTTGTTATTCGTGTAATTCATACATAATGGTGGATATCTATGAATGGTTAAAGTTAAAATGCCCTATTTATCCTGTGCGGCTGTACCAAGGAAAAGCCTATGATTGACCAGTGCTTCTTGGTTCCATGTTGCTTTGGATTTTATCAGACCCATGGTTTGCAATATGTACATCATTGTCCATTTCACACAAACTCATCATTTAGGTTAAGTCTGTCAGTAAACCTGAGAGGCAGCCCCCTGTCTGTGTGTGGTTTTGGTACAACATTGCTAAATTGTTTTTGTTTTTGCTTTGCTTTTTCCATTCCAGCCCTATTGAGCAACCAGTGTAAATGTTGCAGTGAATTGAATTTGGAGCTTTCTTTATTTGGCACAGCTGAAATAACAAGGGGGGGGTGTCAAGTTACTATTTTAATTCTTGCTGGAAATATGTCTTAATGGTATATAAACCGTTTATTTTTATCACAAACACCCTTTGTAATTAGGGACACTTGCTATTAGTTGCATATCATCATGGTTTCCCTTGTGAGGAAGAATTGAACAAAATGAAATAAATGGAGAGAGATCAGTGGATTGGATGGTTTGGTACTCTCTGGTTCTAATATTCTTTCCCTCCATGAAATGCAGAAATATATGATGAATTATAGTTTATTTTATTTCTTAAAATTTTAATTCTAGTATAATTAATATACCGTGTTATGTTAGTTTCAAGTGTACTATGTAGTGATTCAGCAGTGCTCTACATTACTCAGTGCTCATCATGATAAGTGTACTCTTAATCCCCTTCACCTATTTCACGCATCCCCCACCCACCTCCCCTCTGGTAACCACCAGTTCTGCAAATTCAAGAGTCTGCTTTTTGTTTGTCTCTCTTTTTTTTGTTCATTTGTTTTGTTTCTTAAGTTCCACATAAGAGTGAAACCACATAGTATTTGTCCTTCTCTGACTTATTTAACTTAGCATAATATCCTCTAAGTCCATCCATGTTGCAAATGGCAAGATTTCATTCTTTTTTATGGTTGAATAATATTCCATTATATATATATATATACCACACCTTTATCCCTTGATGAGTTATATTTTAAATTTGAACTTTGCTTATAAGTAGAATATAAGAAGTGTTTTTTATTAACTCACATCGCAATTTTACATGGAGCTATGGGCTCTGTTTTTGTAGAATAATTGATCTGTTAGATTTTATATTATGTCATTATGAATATGGATTAAAACATTTTTAAAAGACCGAAATTGAAAAATAATCTCAGTTTACTAATCTCAGCAAAGCAGATATTCAGATGAATTTAACATGACAAATTTTATTTTATTTAAAGATTTATTTTTTTTAAAGATTTTATTTATTTATTTGACAGAGAGAGACACAGCAAAAGAGGGAACACAAGCAGGGGGAGTGGGAGAGGGAGAGGCAGGCTTCCCGCTGAGCAGGGAGCCCAATGTGGGGCTCGATCCCAGGGTCCTGGGATTGTGACCTGAGCTGAAGGCAGATGCTTAATGACTGAGCCACCCAGGCGCCCCTAAAGATTTTGTTTTTGAATAATCTCTATACCCAACATGGGGCCCGAGCTTACAACCCCAAGATCAAGAGTTGCATGCTCTACCAACTAAGCCAGACAGGCGCCCCTAACATGACAAATTTTAAATGCTTTCTGTTGAGCACCCAATGTATACCATGGCTGTTGTATCATTTCCTGTGGACAGGATGTACTGCAAATGATTAAGACTGGAAAGTAAGAACTTTATTAATAGGCTTTAGTCTTCTCATAGCACTTGGGTCCTCTTACAACTCAGGAGCACAGTGAGATTTATGACTGATTAGACCAAATGCTTTTTCTTGTTATTTGCTACTCTTTGAAAATCCTGTGGATTAGAATCTTTGTATAGCTGAATAGACCTATGATTCTCAGTAGTCCTGTGTATCATACTTCTCTGGGGAGCTTATTCAAATGGAGATGTCTGAGCTTTATCCTAGACATTCTAAATAAGTAATTCCACAGGTGGGCCCAGAAAATGCTATTTATCGAGCTCTGCCAAGTGGGTTATATGTCATCAATAGGGGTCTACACTTGAAGGAGTACTTGAACTAGTACTTGACAAGGTGGCAGTGTGGCAGGGCTATCTAGGCTGCGTTGTTCTCTTCAGTATTTATTGAATCTCTACGTGAAGCTCTCAGAGAAGT